GTCTGGGACTTATCCTTGAAGCTGTTCAATTCAAAATAATTCATTAATGTCAAATAAAAGGCCCTGTAAAGAACAATGTTTATTACTATAAGCCTCTACTGAAAGACTGTGTAAGCACTCATTGAAAGTTTAATCATTGAATAATCCTTTTAAAAGGAGGAGGGGGAGGAGCATGGCACACAGGCTTCTTGCGAAGGTTATGTGTTCAGTTAATGAATCATTCATCCACATCTGGCCAGCTGCATGCTTTTTTTCCTATGGAAACCTGTTATCAGAGTATAATTATTTGGGGGGAAAAAACCCCAACTAACAGAAAAACAACACAGCTGTACAGTCAGGTGAGCAAAAGATGTGCTTTCTCGTGCTGCCAAGAGCCCAGTGGCATTGAGATCATTCTGGTTTGGCATAAAAGTTATGGAGGCATCGCCCCATGAGGAGGCTCAGCTGAAATCAAGGTAGATGTTCGGGAGGAGCTGCATCGCCTCCCCCATCGCAGACTGCAACCTCCTTGGCTCAGGTACCCCAGGGCCTGAGCTGGTGGCAGAGCTGCTGCTTCTTACCTTCAATCATGATGTACTTCAATAAGTGGCTGCGTCTCCTCTTTCTCTATGCTAGATGTCATTCTTCGTGGGAGTCTGGATAAATATTTCAGTCTGTAGGAGTTCAGGAGAGCTAGGTATTGCCTAGCAACAAGCATCCCACTCTCTGCCTCCTGCTTCTCTTTACTTTTATTATACCAGTGAAAACCAGGAGTTGAAGCATTAAGTTAATTTTCAGAAATATTTTGAGCAGCTTAAGATATTTTTGTTATGACACTACGTCAGAGCAACAAAGATGTTGGCGGGGGGGCTGGCATCTTAAAGCAAGTAACTCCGCTTGCCTTGTCTGAACAGAAATCGCAATCCAAGACTAGCAAAAACTTTAGATGAGGACAGAATAAACCTTATGATCGCAGTTGTTCTGTGAGTAACAGAACATGTAGCAGGTGCTCCTTTGGTCCTGTGAGGTCTATAAAATACATAGCAGTTAGACTTAACCTAAACTGAATGCGTTTTAAGCTGTATTACCCAATTCATCTTGCACCTTGTGATGGCTGCTGGTGGGACAGTGGCTTATGTTGGAATTTAAATTTTTTAAATTTTTTTACAGACAACTTTGTGGCAAAGTGTTTTGGCTAGTTTCGGTTACAATGGTACAGATCTCAGTTTACAAAGATCCTGGGGGCTAGACCCAAGGCAAGAAAGGTAGGCATTCAAAGTGCAATTTAGGTAGATTTTTGAGTATGCTGATTCAGTGCAATGCTGCACTGAATTTCAGCCTCTCCTGTCCCTTACCAATTTTAAATGTTGAGGACTTGCAAATCTGTAGCTCATGGTTAATGTATATTTTATCTGTAGCTTCTGCAGAATGTCTGCTATGGAGTTCACAAATTTCCCTGCAAGAATCAGAAACATAGGGGAAAAAGGGCAAGTATGTCGTTACTGTTAATATAAAGGTAGTCATCCTCAGCGCTGGGTTGAGGATAACCTGGGTTCCTTTGTCTCTGAAAGCTGCTGAAACTGTGCTTTCAGTGATCCTGCCTTACCTGATGTTCAGGGTGGCCTTAATGAGTTTGGGAGAAGTCGCGCTCCATCTTCGGGGAAGTTTGGTGTGACTCAGGGCCTGTGAAAGGGATTGCAGAAGTTTAAGTGCAGATTTAAGAGCTTTCAAGAAGAAAAGCGCATACTGTTAAAGTAAAATAGATGATGCAAGAAGGTGATTAAGAAACACAGTTATGCCCAAATATGGGGTTTGCTTTGTAGAGGGAAAAGTTAATAGATCCTGATTCAGCAAATGACTTAACTTTGTGAATGAGTTGGTCTTTTCCCATATCTGTCTGATTTAAAAAAGGGGGAAAATAGCACACGGAATAATTTTTAACTATATTCATGGGAATTCACTTAAAAGTTAGCAGTATGTAAGAGAGATGTGAAAGGGATACCAGTATGAACTTGTTTTTTAATGAATTAACGTGGGGTTGTATGTTCAGAAATATTCTGTTTGTAGAGACAAGGGCACCTCTACACACGTAGTGGCCTCTGTCTAGAAATATGCTCAGCATGATTGTCCTGAAACCCTTCTCATGTTCCTTACTTTGGTCTATGAGTCCTGCTCAGCTCCGCTGGTGGGTGTGGATGCTGGCCAGGGTGGGACTGCTGGGGCATTTATTCTGATCAACAGGTTTTCAAAATGGACTGTGTTGTAATTTCTGTTTGGTTTTCTCTTGCTGTAGGAGAAGGAATCTTATGTTTGGTGGCATTCATAAGCTTTGTAAACTCGTGGGGTCTGAAAACACGATTTTAAGGTGATGGTTAGCCTTTGGCTGGAAATGGACATAATTCCGTGTTTGCTACTTAAATTCCTTTCTTTTGGTTGAAACTGGTGGTCTGCTAGGTGCTTTGCTCTATGATTACTTAAAGAGCCCTTCTGACATAAAGGTTTCGAATCGGGAATATTGTGCGGTTGTCTCGCTGGGTAGCTTTTCTTCTGGTATAAAAGCCACTTGATACAAATGGAAGATGCTTCTATTTGGACTTTCATGTCTGTTTTCATATTTCTGATAGTAAAACCTGAGATTTCACAGTAAGCTGCTGGAAATCAAAGTCCAGAGCAGGTTTTACAGCAGTGACACACGTGGCAGAATGGATGCGCTAGATCTGTCAGGACAGACAGTCCTATTTTTCATATTCATTTCAAAGTCATTTCATCTGAAGCCGAAGCTTTTCAGCTCTTCTGAAAATCAGGCAACAGATTTATGGAGTTACTAGTTCAATGCTGTTTTCAAATGAACGGTTTGCTCTTCGTCTTCTCCCTGAAAGCAGCCTAGAATAGTTGCAACAAAGAGGCCTGTGGCCTGTATGGGTGACGTGTGGCAAGTGTGCATTGGCCGCCAAAATCAATGCTCTTGGTCACCCTGGTGGTCAGTGCTAGGGGGATAACCCCTGTCCTACCCCCAAACCACATGTATCATGGTGGAGCAGCGTTGTGGGACGGTGGCACTGCCAGAGCTTGTGGTGTTCCCTGCTTGTGCTTGGTGAAGAGGAGGACAAGCAAAAGCCCTTCCATGGAGGAGAGCATCCCGGTGATGCAAGGACGGGGGCAGTTCAGTGCTTGATAAATTGTGCAAACCCAGTTATTTGTCATTGCTAACGAAGTAGCTTTTTCATGAGGAGGGCTGTTGTACACGCTCTAATAACGCAAAACCAGCTGCGGCTATGGCTAGTTGGATGATGGTGTGTTAGCAGTTTTGAAACACGTACCCGTGTTTGCTCTGTCACCATGGCCACGGTAACCTAATAGGACTTCAGCGTTTGTGTGTAACTTGAGGCTGAGTTGGAGTAATGATGAGAAAACCTGGAGAACTGGAAACAATTACAGGTCAAGCTGTGTCTTCCTCTGACAGAGACCCCATGAAGCTTTTGAATATGTTATGTTTAATTTTAAGGAACTTGATGACTTAAGTAACTTCCTGCTCAGGTTAGATAACCACATCATGTAAGTTCAGGATATGGAAAACCTGGTCTACTTGTCCCATTTTTGGACATTAACACAAAGAAAGAGCAGCTAGAAACTCAAAGGAGGTTCTTCAAATGTGCAATTAAAAAAAAAAAAAAAGAAAATCTGTTTCATGAAATGGAAATTTTGAAGGAATCCAAATAATGCCAAGAGAGATTAAACAACAAAAACGAAAGAGAGTCTACAAGATGCGTGGGAGATGGGGCAAATGGTCTGCAATAGTAAGCATGCTCTAAGCCTACAGTATTTAGTTAAGTCAGTGTTTGTGGTGATTTTGCATCCTTTTATGATTCATATGAATATTTGGAACTTACTTTTTTCTATTAACCTTAATATTTTCTTAGAAATAAAATTAAGTGCATGGTGTTTAGTCAGTATAATAGTAGCACATTATATGAATATTTACTAATTTTACATGCTTAAGGGAGCTTCTTGTCTTGTTTTCAGTGTAAAATTTTGCTTAGTGTTTGGAAACCTGGTCATGTTGTCGTATATACAGCAGTAATGAAATACCAGGTTGTGGTTTAAAAGCGGGCAGGTGATGCTCCACTGCTATTTGAAGGATGACCTTATTTTGAATAATACAAAAATAACAGCAGATTGTTTATAATAAATCTGACAGCAGATTTAGATTCTTGACTTCACACCATTTCCGTTATTAAGAGACATATGTAAGTAGCACATATTCTGGCAAGAGCTTTAAGACAGACTGTATATTATTTAAATTTTGGACTTCTGAAGCTTCCCCCACCCCCCAAGGCTTTAAAAAAGTTAGACTACTGGATTAATGTATTTTCTTAAACCTGAAGGAGCCTTCCGAAAGTATAATATGGTATTTAAATCTCTATATACATTTTTCTTTTATAGATTCACATGGAAACATAACTAAAATATAATCATGTATCCATGGGAAACCTTTCAAGAAATATGTATTCAAACTTTGTAATGGTCTGGCACAGTTATTTCCCGTGGCTGGAGTATTGATTGAGTTCACTAATAAATGTATTTTGGCTTTTAATGCATTATTGTCCAGATCTCACATATTATTTCTGGGAAACACATTTTGAAATACCAGTAAAGAATATTTGCGCTCGGTAACTGCTGGAAGTTTCACCTGTGCAAACGCAGGGCACTGATATATAATGGACCCTGAAGACTAATTAAAGCAATTGGGATTTAGTGCCCTCAAGTAGCGGCTCAGAAATTAAAGACACTGAGAGCATTGACTAAAATCATTAGTTAAGAGAAAACATAAGGTTTTCTCCAATATACTTTTTGTCGTATTTATCCAGTTTAAGTTTATTTACTGTTCTTCTGACCTCTGTTTTACTATGCAACAGACATCCCTGGTTAGGTTTTTATTTACCTATACAATAATATTTGAGAAATTAATGAACCTGTAAGAAAATGCATCGATTTTAAATAATTTAATCTTTTCTTTTTCAGGATTGAAGTGGATCTAGGGACGAATGGATGACTGAATATTCATATGAAGAGGAAAGCCATAAAAGTTGGTTGACATTTTTACAGCCATATGCATTATACATATTACTGCCATTATCAAAAATTTATATTGTGTTACAAAATCTAATAGATGAAATAACCGGTCTGAGCTTCATATGCCATATTGTCTTTCAGGCAGGGGAATACTATAGGTCAACACAGCTGTAGCTTAACACAACAGTTTCTGACTAAACCTGAATGTTCAAAGGAAGACCTAGTAGTATGTTAAGGAAATAGGTAATTCCTTTGAAGCCAGGTGTTTGAATGGGCTGATGCATGGTGATGTTCTTTATCCTTATGCGCAAGGATGAAGGGGGAATGAGAGAGGCGTTGTCTTCCATTACAGCTACTGGCTATGAAGCTTAATACGTTGTGGAGTGGCGCTCAGACGCCATGCTGACAAATGCTGTTTAAGAAGTCAAATAAGATATGATATCTTTGAAAGTATCTTGGTGCTTTCTTTTCTTATCATAGAGAGATGGTTGTCTTACAGTATGCATTTTCTGCACTAGTTAAAAAGGAAGAAGCTATTAGTGGACCTCTGTGCTTTACACGCTTTATTGTTATGCTTTCTAAGATGATAAAATTCAGTAGGCCTTGACATCTGTCAATCTGACTTGTTGATGACCGTGTACTGTAGGCTTTGGCTGGGATGCTACGTTAACCAGTTCCTGCCAAGGCTGTTTAAACAAAGCTGACTGTGCCTGTGGGTTTGCACCAGAGCAAATGAATTGTAATGACAGATGCAGCGTGCGGTAAAATGGGATACAGGGCGTGGTCCAGAGAGATGCCTTGAAGCAGCTAAGTTAAATAAGGCATTCTGGAAACTCTACTAGTCAAGGAAGGATATGTTATGGTGGAAGACCTGTTTCCTACAGAGCTTCCTTCAGCGCCTGAATCCCAGTCAGGGGTGGGAACAATCAAAAAACCAGCAAAACCCCCAGATTTTTTCGAAAGCACAGTGTCAGTTCAATACCAGAAATGTAAGTCTGTAGTTTTATTAACTTGAGCAAAGTAGTTCAGCAG